CTCTAGCATAAATCAGTAGACGAAAATGGAAATAAACTATTTTCAAAACAGTAGGGCATTTTTTGAGTTAGATTGCTTATTAAATATTATAGTATGATATTCTTGCAAATTGAATGTTATTTCCCATGGGATTTTATAAATGTTTGATAAGTATCTTCATAGTCTAAAATGGGGCTTGGCGAACTATGGCCAGTGGGCCGAATACTGCCTACCATCTGTTTTTGTTTGGCTGCAAACTAGGAATAGTTTTTGTATTTTTCAGTGGTTGAAAAAAAATCAAAAGAAGAACGACATTTCATAACACATGAAAATTATGGGGAATTCAAATTTCGGTGTCCATAAATAAAGTTTTATTGAGACAAAGCCATGCTCATTTGCTTATGTATCGTCTTTCGTGGCTTTTGTGCTACAACTGCACAGTCAAGGAGTTGTGACAGAGATTGTAATGGCCTGCAAAGCCTAAAGTATTTACTTTCTGGACCTTTATGGAAAACATTTGCCTATCCCTGGTCTGAAGTATTACATCAGAGACTGTCCATGTCCACTAGGTCCTACTCTTGTAGTGCAAAGGCCTTGCCACTGTCTGAGGACTTTCTCTGGGGCTGAGCACCCTTGTCTGTGTTCTCAGCAGGTCAGAAGCATCCACAAGTCAACACTTTTGGGGAACAGCCCTCCACAAATGAGAGTTAGTGGATAAATACCCCAGCTCCTTCTTCTCTATGTTGGGTATATCCTACACCGTCAGAGGTTATGACAAGGGCTTCACAGGTTAGATGTGAGATGAAGGTTATCCTTGGGTATCAAGTTGGTTGCCCACAGTGCTGACAGCCTTGATAAAACACCCTTCACTGCTTTCCCACTCCGCCACAGTGTTTCCAGGAGTCTCCTCCCAAATCAACTACTTGTACAGGAATCCTTGTCACAGAGTATGCTTCTAGGGGAAGTCCAAACTAAGACAAATATGAATTATTCATGTATATATATTATTTAGGGTGTCACTTTGATGTATAATCTACACAGGTATGATGAAAAATTTATAGCCAAACATTTGGGCCATTTTTTTCTTACTACTAAGGGAAAGACAGTTTTATTAATTGATAGTTTTATTCTGGGTGACATTTATCGGGCAAAAGTATCCTGAAAGATGCAGTTTAATAATTTTCTCATATTTTTGAGCATAAATGTCTATTCCAGGAGAGTGATTCTTGAAGTATTGAATTAATTTTTCATATTGCAAAATCTTCCTTTCATCTTTTGTAAAATTTATGTTTTCTTCTTTTATCCTAATAAAACTTTTTTGCTCCCTCTTCAGAAAACTTCTGCTCAAATTTAGTTTGCATCAATAATAGGTGGAAGTAAACTCAGTGTAAGAGGTAGTCATTTAATTTTTTTCCGTATGATAATTAGCTATAGGTTCAGAATGTTTAAGAAGAAATATTATTCTGTAGAAAATGTCCATAGTTTTTCTTTGTATACCTCTCATATTTTTTCCCTAGTGGTTAGTTAAAATCAGTAAATCAGTAATAATGTCAGACCTAAATCTCATATTTTTTCCCTAGTAGTTAGTTAAAGTCAGTAAAATCAGTAATAATGTCAGACCAAAATCTCTGTCATTTATCCTTGTTCAAGATTCTGTAGGTGTCTATACCTTGAATAAAACTTCTATATTACGGAGCCGGCTCTGTGGCCGAGTGGTTAAGTTCGCGTGCTCCACTGCGGCGGCCCAGGGTTCGGATCCTGGGTGTGGACGTGGCACTGCTCGTCAGGCCATGCTGAGGTGGCATCCCACATCCCACAACTAGAAGGACCTGCACCTAAGATATACAACTATGTACTGGGGGGTTTGGGGAGATAAAGCAGAAAAAAAAAAAAAAGATTGGCAACAGTTGTTAGCTCAGGTGCCAATCTTAAAAAAAAAAATCTTCTATATTACTACTTAAGTTATACCACTTTTTTTTTTTCATTTGCTTAATGAATGTAATACTTGATGATCCTAAACTGTTACAAGGAAAGGACAAGAACAGCTATTTAAGAGATCTAACTGAAAAAATCAGAAGAATAAAGTATTTGATTTGTTTTGGCCACATGAATGTTATATTGTTTAAACAAATAAACTGCCTCAAATTACTTCAAGATTTACCCCTTCTTACCTCTTTTGTGTGTGTGTATGGGAATGCAGTATTTTGTTTAAGGATTTTGAAGACATATGGTTACATGAAAAAAATTACTATGTTAAAAATACTACCATTTGTGTAAAAAAGGGTACTCACATATGTTTCTCTGTGTCTAGGATACATGTCAAATTGAACTGGTAGCCATGCTTTTCTCTGAGGAGGGAAAGTGGAGATAGGAGCAGGGGTGAGAGGAAGACGCACTTTTCACTGTACACTCTTTTGCACTGCGTGTGGTTTATTTGACCATTTATATGAAAAACTTAAAAGGAAGTTAAAAAGAAAGAAAAGAAAGAAGGAAGAAAGAAAGGAAGGAGACTCTAGTATTAGAGGGACTCAGGTCTGAATACCTGTTAAGCCACTTACTAACCAAATGATTATGTTCACATTACTTAATCTCTGTTCTCATCTATGAAGTGCAGATAATAGTATTTATTTCACATAATCATAAGAAATTACAATTATAATACATGAGTAAAAGTACTTAGCATATTGCCTGGCACATAATAAACCTCCAATAAATGGTTATTTGACCATATATGATTATTAATATTTAAAGTAATCTTCTGCCTTGACTTCTACAAAGGGTAGGTTTTTATTTATTCACTAACTCGACACGTGTTTTTTGAGCATTCTATTTTCGGCAGGCGTAATAATCAGCCTAGGAAGTCACATTGCATCACTTCTGAAATAGTCTGTTGGTCAAAGCGGTCACAAGATCCTAGGGGAGGGGTTGTAGACTCCACCTCTCAATGGGAGGAGTATAAGGAATCTGTAGGCATCTTCAGGCTACCGCAGTCTGCCTTCTGGTTGCAGATTATTTGCATCCCTCCCTCAGGCACCATATATGCACCCCCTTCCAAGGTCCTACAAAACGTCATTCTACTACAGTGTCAGCTCTTCATCTACATCAGATCCAGATGTGGCTGAGACTCCTTGAGTGTGGTTGCTTGGGTGCAGCTCCTTGAATTCAGATCCAGTTGCTCTGAAACCTGTGCATTAAAGAGACTGGTTCCCTGTGCTCTCTCTCACTGTCAGCCCTCCCCACCCCCACCTGCCCACATACTCTGATAGGACAGAGATAGATCACCACAGTACACATTCCCATTAAAAAGGAGAACGGAAGGCTTATAGCACTTAGTGACTATGGTAGGTGAAAAGGTTTCCCCAAAGATGTCCACGTCCTAATTTCCAGAACCTTTAAGTATGTTACCTTACGTGGCAAAAGAGACTTTGCAGATATGATTAAGAGTAAGGACTTGAGATGGGAAGATTATTCTAGATTGCCAGATGGGCCCAGTCTTGGTACCTGAGTCCTTAAAAGTGGGAGAGGAGGACAGAAGAGTGAGTTAGAAAGAGGATGCTGCTGACTTTGGAGATGGAGAAAGAGGCCGTGAGCCAAGCAATGTGATGAACTCTAGACTCTGGAAACAGAACCCCCCCTCCCCCACCAACACACACACATAGTCAGCAGTAAATAGGAAACTTGTTCCTATAATCTCAAGGTACTGAATTCTGCCAACAACCAGAATGAGCAGGAAATAGATTCTCTCTTAGAGCCTCTAAAAACCCTGCCAAAATCTTGGTTTTATTTTGGTGAAGCTCATACCAGATTTCTGATCTAGAGAAGTGTAAGATCTCTAAATTTGTGTTGTTTTAATCCACTAAGTTTGTGGTATTTTTTATGGCAGCGTATAGGAAATGGGTACACTGACCAATAGCAATTCTGAAATCTCTCTGGGCACAAGTGGCCAGCTCCTTGATCAAGTCCCAGTTCTGGCCCCTGGGTATAAGTCTCTGTGCTCTTGGCTCCACCCTCTGGGATCTTTTGTTCTGCCCCCTGTATCAGCCTTCCTTTTCCATGGTCCTTGTGGTATCTGGGCAGACTAAACCTGCTTTATACCGTCTCTAGAACTTTGGCAGCATAATGCACTCTTCTTTCTTGTCCCCTTTAGTCTAAGCCAGTGGTGCTTCTGTTAGTATAATTTTCTTAAAAGTTTTGTGGGCTTTCTATAAGTCTTGTTGGGGTTTACTCCATTAGATAAAAGCCAGATGCACAAATCTCTTCCAAACAGGTCCCTCTCTGGTTTGTCTCACAGTCACTGTGCTGTGAGACAAAGCCCTTATTAGTCATAAAGCCTGTTTGTCTGGTAGAGAGGGTCAATTTTTCTGACATGTTAACAAAAGGTCTTATAGCTGCATCCTTGAAATAATCTTTACCTTGAATTTTCTTCTTCCTTTAAGGGCCTCTTGCCATCTGGAGAGATTGGGAATGATTTTGGTATTTTGTCCAACTTTTCCCTCTGAATTAAATCATTGCAAATATTCTTAAGTGTATTCTTGTCTGTTGTTGCCTGCCCGCTGCTTACGAATCCGCTGTTATGCACTTGTTCTCAACTCTTAACACACACCAGAGTCACGTGGGATCTTTAAAAATACTGATACCTGGGTCTTACATGCAGAAATTCTAATTCGTTAGTTTGAGGTGTGGTCTGGACAGTAGGAGTTTTAAAATCTCCCCAGGTTATTCTAATATGCATTCAAAATTAAGAACAGAGGCCTTTAAGTAATGTTGTACTATTATTTGTAATCAAAGTGAGTTTTAGAATATATTTATTTTGTCTTGGACTCCTAAGCATTTTTTTGTAGGAATTTTCTAAAGGACCAAATGAGTAATAAAGAAGTTTTGTTTTTGTTTTTAAAAGAGTGGGACCTGAGCTAGCAACTGTTGCCAATCTTCTCTTTTTTTGTTTTTTCTGCTTTTTCTCCCCAAATCCCCCCAGTACATAGCAAGGCCTAATGAGCGGTGCCATGTCCGTGCCCAGGATACGAACCGGTGAATCCCTCGGCCGCAGAAGCAGAGCACGCGAACTTAACCACTCGGCCACGGGGACGGCCCCTAAAGAAGTATTTTTAGTTTTCCAAATTTTAGTAAATTATTAAGTTCAGAGTAAAAAACCCATGTAGCTTTTTAATTTTATAAAATCATTGTGACACAAATCAGAAACATCATAGCTATCCTAAGAATAGTGTGAATGGATGCTTTCAATTAACTCTGTGGAAATATGTTTTTATTTCATGGTTTTTAAATCTTGCTTCTATATTAGGCACTTTGGGAACTGTTTTCAATCCTTTAGTAAACTGCTTAGTTTATGGTAAGAACATTGCATTTTAAAAGAATGAAATAACATGAATGGTAGGATTTCCCCCTACCGCCTGCAAATTAACGCCTCCATAGTTGCCTACATTGCTAGTGTAGCTTTAAATATAGGATATTCTGGTTCATTACATGCACTCTTTGTGAGCAATGTCTTTTTAAAACTGGTTTTGGTTTGCGTTCAAAGGAATGCTTTTCTTGTTCAGCAGCTGGGTATGAATTTAATTATTGTAAATAAATATGATCTAATGTTTCATTGAGTTTTCTGAATAACAAGATAATTTGGTCAGCACTGCTATCTCAAAAGGCCTGGAGGAAAGCCAAAACACAAGAAGCAATTGCTCTGGTGAGGAGGAAATTATCGGCAAATTCATGTGATTTACTCCATTTAACATACAATTAAAAGTGGCTGTCGATTTGCCTGATACTCTAAATGCTTCTTTATCTCTTGACTTGGTTACAGGAAGTGTTATAAAAAGAAAAAGGCTGCTGATGTTTGTTCCACCTTCAGTATGTGGTTTCACAACCAAAGCCACTGTCCCTGTGTAGGAACTGCTTCCTACAGTGGCAGCGGGATCTGAAGGTGCAAGACCAGGGAGCAGATTGCGATGTGAATGTGTTCTTGGCACCGAAAGTAGGTAAGCAGGGAAGAGAAACAAGGTTTGAAATGTATAGAACCAGAAATTAGTCATGTGTGAAAGAAACTTAATAAGCTTTATCGAATTTGAAAGAAAATCCTAAAGATTTACTTGACATTACATATCAGGTGTTGTGAATTAAAAGAAACGTTTAGAATCTGTCAGTAAAAAAAACCAAATTGGCCAACCATGCTAGAAGAAAGATTGAATTACTTTTCTGTTCTCTTTATAGAAAATATGACCTCATTGTCATTTGAAGAGGTGGTCAAAGTGTATGCAGATAAAAAATGTAGAAAACAGTCGTACAAAGTCTGTCAGATATGTCGGCTTTTAAAAATGAGTAATTAATTTTATTTTTTCATTCTAAATAAATATTCCCTTTTGTGCCAATTTTTTCTGGAATTTCTCATAGCACACAAACGTGGATCTGCCCCTGCCATTCCCATCCAAGCCATTCACCTTACTGCTCAGACTTTCCCTTATCTCCTTTCAGATCCTCTACCTTCTTATACCATCTCATTCCTTCACTCGTGTCTTTAAATCCGTGATTCTACCGATGACTGGGTCACGTCAGAGCAAATGTCTGAGTCTGCTGCTTACTGCTCGGGTTTCTCATCGCTAGCACACAATCCCCTGCCATGTTAGTGGTTATTCCTGTGCCAACTTACCACGGCAGCTGTATGTATTTTAACAGTCGATCTGAGGAGACCAGGCCTTCAACGTCTCCTCTGGTTATTCCGGTAGGAATTTGGGGCCAATGTGAACTGTTACATAGTGGAAGACAGCGCCCTGGAGACTTCTGGCACCTCATTAAGTCATAACCATTTTCTCTTCCTGTGTTTGTCTCTAGGAGCTAATTTGTTGGGCTGGAATTGATTGATCCAGAATATTGAAACGGAAACATTCAGAAATGGAGGGAGGGAGATTTTGATTTATAGATTTGTAGTTGGGTGAAATAAGTATTAGCTCTTCGGCTGGTGATGGGGACATTTGTTACCGAAACCAAAGTGGCTTCCCTCCTAGTGAGGTAAATCAAACTCTCTACCAGAAGTAGTCTCACAAAGTAAAGTATAAATGCCGCAAATAGGAGACCACGTGGAATCATTCCCAAAGTCATGGCGTCCTCTAACAAACAGAAGCAGGCACATTTATTTCGAACGGGCAATGAATATTCAAAAGGGAGAGGTGGGTATTGGCTTGCTCAGGCTCAGCTGGAAAACATGCTTCCATCTACACTGCAGGTTAGGTAGTAAGGCCTAAGCTCCTCCTCGAGAGATCTTAGCATTAAAAATAAGACAAAGGTCATAGGCATAGCTCTTGTGGTGAGGCCTGGTCTGGTTCAGGGTGGTTGTTGATTACATCCATTAACATAACAAAAGGAAAACTCAATTTGGAGCAACACTTAAATGCTTCTAAACCCACCTTTGAATTCCTTGGGGCAACTAGTTGGTGACACACCTGCAAACTTCCCTAGGTATAAGACAGGATAATAAGGTTTACCTGCTGATCCCATTAGTTAACCTATCTCAGGAGGTGATTTACTCGCTGAAATGTAAAAGGTAATTTCTAATACTTACCAAGTAAGGTAGCTGGCTGGCAGTGTAAATGATACAAGTTTCATGAATGATCAAATCAATTTAGATTGTGGCTTATAAAAGTTTTGAAAACTATTGTAGCAGTTCTTTGATAGGTAAAGAAAAGCAGAAACCTCAAGGAAAAATCTCCCAGGTGTTAGAAAAAAGTTAATGAAATTTAATTTCTAATATTGAAGGAGGATGGAAAAGTAAATGAAAGCTGTATTGATGTTTTAAAATTTAAGCAGAAAAAGGTTATGCTAATTCAGAGATTTAATTGTATTATCTGGCTCTAGGCAATCTTTAAATTGTGAATGATGGGATTGGGAGAATATATTTTTTATAAATTTTTTGCTCACAAAGTGTGAGGGATATAAATAATAAATGCAGAATAAGGAATTTCCGTTTTGGGAAATCACTGTTTTGGCAAATAGAACTTCTTCGCATATTACTCGTGTAAGGATATCAGGAAACACTACCATGGAAAGTGATTTTAAAATTCTTTACCAAATCATGATACTGAGTCACCTGGGTAATGAGATAGAGTCTCTCTGTGGAAACCATCTGGTTTTGGGGTGTGAGAGTTCAGTAGGTATTGTTGCAAAACTCCTGCCCTCAGTCACTCTCAGCTCCTGGTTAGCTGTGAGGCACAGTGCGCTGCAGGTGCGACTCCAGCCTGCTTACTGAGCAAATTCTACACTTCTGCAATTTGAATTTTCCATGTACTGTTTTCTCTTGCCCCTAATTTTCTTAGTAAGTTCTGTTTGACGTGTTGCAAAAGTCTGTTTATGTGTTAGCGTCTGTTCTTTGACCTTTTTCATCTGTGAAATGGCATTATCACCACCTACTTTGGATGGGTATGATGGGGAGTTTTATTTTGCAAGGCATTTTCAGACTTTTTTCCTTAAGGGGCCGAAGAATATACTGTTAGCTTGCTTATTAAGAGACTATCATGTGAGGGACTCGGTTGTACAAAAATATTTGTATCACTGAGATGTTTTTGGCTTCAAGGAACAAAGACTGTCTCTAGTGAGCTTAGGCCAAAAAATGAGTTGGTCGAGAAGCAGAGGAAGAGTTGAAAATTCAAGGCCTTGGGAAAGTCAACAACCAGGTTGGCTGCAGGGATCTCTATGATGAGAACTCATGGAGAATCTGTTTAGGGCACTAGACTTGAAATGCCTTGACTCCAAATTCCTTCTACCCTGGGTGACTTACTCAGGTTTCAGATCCTAGGAGAGGCTGATTGACAGCTTGAGCCAGAAGTCTCCCCTGGGCCAGTTGTAGTGGGAAGGAATCTTAGGATGTCATAGTCTTGATCATGTGATCACCCTTTGTTTGGCAGACCCGTCAGGACTCCATGGGAATAGAAGCCCTTAGAAAGAACAGGGTACTTTGTTCTTCCATTCTGTTTCTATTACAAATCCATTGGGGCACACTACGAGGACTTGAGTAAATCTCAAAAGAATCGGGTCATAGGGTAGAATAATTTACCTACTGTATGAGTTTGCTAAGTACCATAACAAAGTACCACTGCCATAACTGAGTGCCACAGACTGGGTGGGTTGAACAACAGAAATATATCTTCCTCACAATTCTGGAATTTGGAATTCTAAGTAAACCCTCTCTCCTTGGCTTATAGATAGCTGTTGTCCTCTACTGCCTTCACATGGTGTTGCTTCTGTGTGTACCTGTGTCCTTCTTACAAGGACACAAGTCATACTGGATTATGGTCCACCCACACGATCTCATTTTTACCTTAATTACTACTTTAAAGACCCTGTCTCCAAATAGAGTCACATTCTGAGGTATGCGGGGTTAAGACTTCAATATATGACTTTTGGGGGAACACAGTTCAGGCCATAATATTTACCTAGTAAGTTGTGGGTTAAATGATATGTATTTAAGTGGCCAGTATAGTTTTCCATCAGCAGTAGCTAAAATATTGTTACGTAGTTCAGAACATTTGTGTTGATGACAAGGTGTCAGGTTATTGAATTGGGTACTCTGACACAAATATGGCTAAATCATGGCTCTTGCTTTTAGGAAGCTCAGTAATATATATTTTGCATGAATTGTGTTGATACACATATGTGTATATGTGTTCTATGTCTAGGTGTATACGTATAATATGTAGCACTTGGTAATAATACCACCTGACTTCAGAAGACAAATATCAGTTCCTACTTTGGCAAGCTGGTCCTCTGGTTCTCAGAGAATCCTTTATTCATCCCTCAAAATAGCTATTGTTTAATAGTCTACTTCTAGGCAAGGCCCAGCAGGTCAAGCAAACCAAGAGTAAGTCTTAAAATAGGAATTATTTTGCGTTATACCTTTTATTATCTTCTTTTAATGACTTTTTTTTCACATTCTTATAGTTCTTGTAGATTTTTAGGGAGAAAGGGGAGGTTTTGTTTTAGCTAAGGCCATACATTTGCTTAAGGAAATCTTTTGTGTATGAAGTTTGTTGTTCCTTAGATTTCTGATATTCAGCAAGTTATTTTTCTGTGTATTAGAAAATAGTAAACCTTATTTTTAAAAACATACACACATAATATATGAATACCTACTCATTGTGAAAATTCAAACAATATGCAGAACTACAGAGAGGAAAAAAGTCAATCTCTCTCTTCACATTTCCCCCTCTAACTCCCGCCACCCCATTCTCCTCCCACACAGCAGGCATGGTCAGGGTTTGGTTTGCCTCGTTGCTGACCTTTTCAAAAATTATTTTCATAATCATATAAGAATATACACAGAATTTGGGGACATTTTATTTTGACAGAAACAGCATTATAATGTAGGTATTGTTCTAAGAGTTTTTTTTTCTTCCACTAAAAAGTATTTGCTGTTTTGGGTAGAATTTTAATACTAAATCTGACCACTTACCCACCTTTTCTCCAGGTCTCTTGACTAGGAAACAGATTTGTCGGGGGCAAAGTACAAGTAATGACTTCTAAAATAGAATAGCTGAGCAAATGCCTTATATCTTTAAAAGGCAGGTTTTCCTTATGAAGTGTCAATGGTCCTAGAGAAGGAGGCCTAGAAATCTAAGCAGGGCTTCTTGCTCCCTGCTTCCTGTCTAAGCCAGTTACCTAATCAGCCTGTGGATGAGCATGGCTGGCCTGCCTCTGAGGCCAGGCTCTGCTCTGTGAATCGACGACATAGGACCAGGAAGCAATAGAGAATCGGTGGAACCTGTTCTTGCCTTTAAGGAATAGTAGTCCTGCTACTAGTAAAATGTGATCTGAGAATGCGGCTAATGACACTAGAATTCCTCGTCTCATAGGACGCAGAAGAGTAGCTAGAAAGTGGGTGGAGATGGTCTGACAACGTAGGTGGAAATATCCACTCTCCCGTGGGCTGACGTGGAAATGTGAGGCTGCAGGATAGCAGTTTCTTCTCTAGCAAACATATCTTGGAGGTGTTACCATTTCAGCACATAGAGATTGAAATCATTTAGAGGTCTCATAATATGCTGTAACTTATATTTATATAGGATTTTAGAGTTTTGAAAACTTTCTCCTAATTTCCCCCTCATTTTACTCTCACAGCACCCTGTGTGGGGCTTCTTCGATAGATATGGGACTAAAGCCTTAAGGAAGTCAAGGGAATTGTCCATGAATTCAAGCTCTATGGATGCCTGGGTCAGTTTTCTTTCCACTGTAACATACTACTTCTTGTTAAATGCTAGTTTATATTTAAATTGCATGGGAATAATTAGCTGCTGTTAAATTTGTTACAAGAACCCCTTTTCTGACAGGCATAATTTCAGCTCTCTTCTGTAAATCTGATTTAACAAGTGTTTATTGAAAACTATCATTGATATGTTTATTTTGTATTGGTTTTTATTTTTTAATTCCCATCATCTGACCCAGTCTTGTGTTCAGCGTAATTCTCCATCTTGTTAATGTTGTTGGGGGCAGTATTTGCCTATAATTATAAAACTGAAACAGACCCTCATTTGTCCAGCCTCCCTTGTAGCCAGGATTTGTGTACGTGATCTAGGCTTGGCTCATGTTTTGCAACCACCTTAGACTTTAAATTGGTAGCTTGTGGCCCAAGAGGTAGGGGCAGAAAATCCTCTCTGCTGGCAGGTGGTTGCCACGGCAGTGTCAATATCCAGCCTCCAGGGGCAGTAGGGACAGCAGGGGCAGTGAATCCCAGTGGTGGCTTTCATGTTCTGTGCCCCGGGTGATGGCGGTGGTGTGGTCTCTGGCATCCAGAAGTGGTGGTACCTTGTCCACACTGAACTGATTTGGGCTGTGGTCCTTGATATTGGCTGGCCGTCTGTATTCCTGCTCAGTGTCTAGCCCTAATTCTCTGACATTACAGTGATTGTATGAACTATTCAGTAACCTTTCATTTTTTAAATTTACATACAATAAATTCACTTGTTGTGGTAGACACTTCTATGGATTTTGACAATATATAGAGTCATGTACCAACTGCCACAGTCATAATGTAGAACAGTTCTGTCATGCCTCAGATTCTGCTCCTTTGTAGTCACCCTTTATCTACCCCCAAATCCTAATCTATCTATCCCATAATTTTCCCTTTTCCAGAATATTTTCACAGAATAATTTTCATATAATGTTATCTAATAATCTTTTAATAATATTTCATTATAATATTAATAACCTTTAAAATATTAGTAAATTTATTTTCTGATTAAATATAGTCATGTCTCGCTTAAATACAGGGGTATATTCTGAGAAATGCGTCACTGGGTGATTTTGTTGTTTTGCGAACATCAGAGTGTACTTACACAAACCTAGATGGTATGGTCCACTACACACCTAGGCTCTATGGTACTAATCTCCTGGGACCACTGTTGCGTATGTGGTCCGTCGTTGACTTAAGTGTTGTTATGTGGCGCATGACTGTAAGAATAGCTAAAATTTATTGGACGCTTAACATTTGTTTTGTTGTGTTCTTAGTAAGTGCTTTACATGGATGAACTCGTTCAGTCCTCACTGCAGTTCTAATAGGTGTATCCTCTTATTATCCCCATTCACATATGAGAAAGCTGAGGCACAGAGTGATTAAGGAAGCTGTCCACGGCCGCAGAGGTCATAAGTGGCAGTCAAGATTCAAACCCAGGCAGCGTGGTGCCAGACATAGGCTTTTAGCTCCTATCTGTACTGCTTTGTAAACAGCCAGAATTGTTTTCTGTTGTTTGCAACTATGAACTTGAGTGATAGAACTCGTGGAGGAAAGTCTCAAAGTACACACTCTTATGGATGTTACCATTGGGTTGGGGAGACACCTTATTGAAATAATTCCGTCAATGAATGCCTAATTACAGATGGAGGTAAATGAAGGAAAGGATCACAATTCTTTAGAGTTCAACAGAGACAAACCCCACCTAGTCTGGGGGTCATAGGAGGTTTCCCTGAGAAAGTGATACTTTAATAGAAATCTGAATGAGTTGCCAGACTGTGTGTGTATCTGTGGAGTGTGCAACTGGAAACTTCCAGAGAAAGCCACAGGTGCTGAGGTCCAGAGGTAGGAGGCAAGATGGCCATTCTAACTGGAGCATCTAAGGGGGAGCCCCACTGCCAGCCAATGTAGGTGAAATTAGAGGTGGGCAGGTGGCCAAACTATGTAAGCCACATCAAGTACTCATGAGGCTTTGCCTCCCTCTGGTTCCAAATAACACTCTGCAGTCTTTACTCATCCACACAAAGCAAGAAAAGAAAACACAGGGCAATGCTCATAGAGGACTATGCTTTGTTTTCTCATGGAGCAGGACTCATGATGGGAAGGTAATGGGCCCAAGTTCCCTTGGATATTGCCTGGAAGGTATTCCTGGACCACTTGCCTTACCTCAGGAGGTATTTGGGAATATATTGGGATCCACTGATTTGCATTGGAGCACTATGAGGCTGGCTTCTGCTCATTGCTGTGCCTGAGATTGTTAAAGCATTTCTTCAAACCTCACATCCGTAAACTGCAGGGTGTGCAATACCTTGTATTTGGTGTCCTTGAGTCATTGATAGGTATCTCAGTAAGCACAGCCAAGTTAGCAAATAGACACAGTCTCTTCTCTCTGCATGTTTTAGACACAGTCTCTTCTCTCTGCAGGTTTCATAGACCCAGACTTCAATGAACCACGACAATATTAGAACGCAGCATCGTTTCATAAATAGGGGCACCCAGCACAAAAAGACAGGTTACCTTGGCCAGGGTTGCAAAAATAGTGAATGAAAGAGCCACAGCTAATTCTCATATTTTCTGACCTCCAGCCTACTTGGCTTGTATTTTGATATACATATTTCTAAAACAGATTCACAAAAATCATTGTTTAAATGGGTTAATTTGATAACACTGCCCAATGCATTCCTGTTTGATAGAAGGTAGACCTAGGCATCCAAGAAACACACAGTTGAATTATTCCTAGATACTACTTGTGTGTTTTCAGTAAACTAATTAAAAAATCAGTAACAGAAGGCCTGTGATAAATTTTTTTAACTTTTTTTCATAATTTTACATTTGACTAATCTTTTATAACACCCAAATGTATGGGCATGAGTTCATGCTGAGAGGAAAACTTTCGTGAGTCTGTTAACTCAGGAGGACCATAAGGCATTCAGAAAATAAGTTAATATTCTGAAGTGCATTAATTAATACTTTTGACTACCCTGACCAGTTAAGATCCTCAGAGACATATACCCCAATTTCGAATCCAATTAAAATGATATCCATTACTAAATTAACCCATGTACATTCAAATCTTGATGTAAAATGACATAGTCTCAAGATACCCATTAATTAATCAAACATGAAAAAATATGTCAAAAAATTATTAATCCATCTATTCTGATGTTATATCTCAAAGGTCTTCAAGCTCCTTATATATTAGAAGTATTATATACTATAACAATTCTTCACTTTGTTTAAAAGATAACACTGAAAAAATGTTTCACCATATGCTTGTTTGAGATGCAGTGAAAAAATGTTCTTTTCAAAGCATATGGTGATATAATTAGGTGTCTCTGAATACAGCAAGGTTGTAAAGAGAACTGTCTGAACTAAATTGAAACAATTTGCTGCTCTGTGTTTTTTTTTTGACCCATCACCCCAACATCAGTATCTTCTCTGGGTTATCATTGTTTTTAATAAGGAAGAATCTTAAGCACTTGAAGATGAGAAACATCTGCTGTCACCTCCCATAGCTATGGCAGATAGGGTTCCAGGACTGCTTCCCCTTCCCTTTCACTGTGTAAACCCCTGTGTGGCTCACGTGCCCAGTCTCTCTCATTGAGGAGTTCTGGCATCACTCCAGCATCATTGACATTTCTATAAAGTTCTGTAGCCCGGAGTCGGCTTGTGTCTATGGCTTGGCTGCCTTTCTTCATGCCGTCTCCTGGGATTCTCTTCTGCTAATGGTGAGAGGCCTTGCATTTCTTTTTCTTCAATAAAAGGGTTTTTTAAAAAATATTTCATCCTGTTTTGGTGTACTCAATCTCTGAAGAAAAGAAAAAGTTTGCAAATAGATTCTATGTGATATAATGAGAAGGACACTGGTTATTTGTTATAAGAAATCTAAATTTAAAAATTCGTGTATTGAAATCTGGGAAACAAAACATCATGGTTTCGGATGAGTTTGGGTATTATCTTGTATACTGTTTTTTCTTCATTTTTCCAATTCATTGGGACGTACAACATTTACTAGGATTTTAAGGGTAGTAGGATTTGTCACATTTTAAACAAGTTCATGAGTATATTTGAATAATGAACCTTTCATTTAAGGACATCAGTGCCTTGTAGTCCATTGATAAACAGAGTCTGGATTTTTTCTTTTAATTTTTTTTTAAAGTGCCTGACTGGAATGAATATTATGTGTTTGTCTTAGACATATGTTGTTTTCAGCCAAATTCATTGCTGACTGATACGGTAAGTTTCACTAATTTTAAGTCCTATTTTTATATCATTTATAGTGAGTATTCTTGGTTTTAGTTAACAAGTGAAACTGTCAGCAAACAAACGTGGATTGTGCAGCAGAAGACATAGATGATAGATGCTATTGCAAGTCATGACTCATGATCATTCAATGGGTTATTTGCCTCACTTCTTTTGTGATTTTTTCTGTTGTCGACTATTGAGGAAATGAATTATTTTCTCTAGCTTTCCCGGCACGGTTACTTTCTAATCAACTTGTGTTTGTTTTCACCTTGCATCCGGGGAACAGTACCTCCTGAGGTGAAATGCTATAGTGAGCCAAATCCTCGTCCGTCGTGGAATGGTTTGCAAACTTTAGCATCTACTGGAATCACCTGGAGGCTTGTTAAAATACAGATTGCTGGCCTTCATCCCCAGAGTTTTTGATTCACTAGGTCAGGAATAGGGCTGCAGTATTTGCATATTGAATGAGTTCCCAGATGAAGATGATGTGCTGGCCTGGGAACCACGTTTTGAGAACGACTTGTATAGTGCAACACTTAGTGCCTGTCCTATGGTCTGTCGTCTCTGTGTCCCAGTGGAGACAGTGAAGTGTCCTACTGCACCCTGAGGTAGGCCCCAACCAGCTCCCAGGCACCAGGGTCTCCTTCCTTTTTTTCTTAC